ACTGAGAGTAACCGAGTACTTGTACTGAGAGTAACCGAGTACTTGTACTGAGAGTAACCGAGTACTCATACTGAGAGTAACCGAGTATTTGTACTGAGAGTAACCAAGTACTTGTACTGAAATTAACCAAGTACTTGTACTGAGAGTAACAGAGTACTTGTACTGAGAGTAACCGAGTACTTGTACTCACAGAAGCTCGAGGCGTAGGCGGCAGAGTTGACCCTGAGCCCGGTGCAGCAGATGATCAGATCTGTGGTCAGCGTGTCTCCTCGCTCTGTCCTCACCTCCGTGTTCCTCTGAGTCACGTTTAGTTGCAGCTGCGACAGGTTGGCAACTTTGTCACCTGAAACACAGACTCAGCAGGTTAATGAACCTGACACACACACACACACACACACCTATCTCACCTGTCCACAGGTAAACATCAGTCTCCATACCCAGCAGCAGCTCCACCCCTTTCTCCAGCAGAACCTCCTTCGCCTGCTGCCTGACGCTGGGCAGCAACTGTGGGTCGGCCAGCACCGTTCGGGAGTGGATCAGAACCACCTGGACACCAGAGGGCAACTTTAGACAGGTGTACCAACAAACAAGCAACTAATTATTATTATTATTATTTATTCTTTATTATTATTGATCTACCTCAGCGGTTTTATTTATTTATTTTATTTATTTATTACCGTCTCCACATTTAAGACTAGACTTAAGACTTTCCTCTTTGATAAAGCTTATAGTTAGGGCTGGCTCAGGCTTGCCCTGTACCAGCCCCTAGTTAGGCTGACTTAGGCCTAGTCTGCTGGAGGACCCCCCTATAATACACTGGGCACCTATTAATTATAATATTATTACTTTCATTAATGTTGTTGTAAGCTACTGTCATTACCGTCTGTCCTGCATCTCTCTCTGTCTGTCTCTCTCTGTCTCATTGTGTCATATGGATTACTGTTAATTTATTATGTTGATCTGTCTATAAATAAAATTGATTGATTGATTGATTATTTTTTGCATTTTATTGATTTAGCGCTTTTATATTGTCTTACTTGGGCTTTTAGAAGTGCTTTTTTCCCATATTATTCTTGAGTGCCTTTTGTACAGTATCTGTCAGAACTACTGTCCCTGAACCTTTGTGATGTTGCTATTCTTGTCCTTTTTACTGTCTTCTATGTTGTCTGTGCACCACGACTGTAGCCTGAATGTGGCATTTGGAGTCCAAGACAAATTTCCCCCTGGGGACAATAAAGTTTATATTGACTGATTGATTGATAATAACAAAGAACCACCTGAAACGCAGAGAGGCAACTTGAGACAGGTATTTCTATTTCAACACCATGGACAACAAACAGGCAACCATCAACACACAGAGACAACTAAAGAGATGAACATGCAACTTTCAGTGAGGTGTACCAACAGTAAAAATGTCTTCACCTTCTTGTCCGGATACTCAGTCTTGATCTCAGCAGCCATCTCCACACCGGTCGACCCTCCTCCCACCACCAACACTGAGCCTGCTGCCTGCACCTGAACACACACACACACACACACACACACACACAGTGATGAGTTGCCTCTCTCTACAGAACTCTCAGTATCTGTCCTGTTATCGTACCTGCTTGACGAAGTCCTCATATGTCTGGACGGCGGTCTGATACGACGCCACGGTGTTAAACTTCCCGGGGAAGGTTCCATCAGTCCCAGTACACAGGATGAGGTGGGAGTACTGGATCTCCTGTAGCAACAAACTGGACTGTAGGTCATGTTTAAAGACCAGAAGCAGAGGGAAACTGTTAGCCTAGCTTAGCACAAACACTGCAGGCAGGGGGAAACTGTTAGCCTAGCTTAGCACAAACACTGCAGGCAGGGGAACTGTTAGCCTAGCTTAGCACAAACACTGCAGGCAGGGGGAAACTGTTAGCCTAGCTTAGCACACTCTGTCCTCACCCTTCCTCCCTCCAGGACGACCGTCTGTCTGTCGGTGTCGACTCGCTGAACTCGTCCCTGAACAAAACTGTCTCCAAAGGTCTCAGCGTATGGGATGAAGGTCCTCCGAGCGAAGCCTGCAGGACGACAGGGGGTCAGAGGTCAGAGGTCACACTCTGCACTCTGACATCATTACACACACACATGCACACACACACTGTGCCCTCTGTGGTTATTAGTCAGGAGCGTATTTGTTGGCTGCTGAGTCATGTGTGATAAAGTTCATCTGTCTGAGTCATTGAACAGTCTGAGCTCACTGTGACAGCGATAAGAATCACAACAATAATAATAATAATCATAATAGAAAAACTTAATATAGATCTATAAACAACTTTTTTAAAAATCCAGAAAAATTACAAAAAATACTATAATAAAAATAAAAACAAATCTTAAAAAGTATCCTTAAAAAAAACCCTGGATCTCTAAAACTTCTAAACAATGAAAAAAAAACAGTAAATACAAATAAAGGAAATATTTTGAGCAAAATTTAAACATATTCTTTTTTCTTAAAAGGACTGCAAAAAAAAAAGAATTCTCATTAAAATAAAAAATCCAGGTTAAAAAAACCCAAATTATAACATTTAAGTAAAAGTAAAACAAAAATAAAAAAAATAATAACACAAAACAAAAATTAAAATATGACTAAATATATTATTGTATTATCATGAAAAAATAAAATAAATCACTGAAATAAAGTAAATAAAAATCAAAGAAATAAATGTATCCTCTCACCAGGCTGTACGGACGCTCTGAGCGCCGCCACGTTGTGATGAAAAGCGTCTCTCATGTCGATCAGAGTGAAACAAAGTCCTCCAGATTTCAGCTGCTGAGCCACCGCGATGCCTCCGAATCCACCGCCAACGACCACGACATGGACGTCCTCTACTGACGAGGCCTGACCCCCCATCTCTGTGAACACACACACACACACA